CGAGGGCTCAGCTGGCGCCGCGGCCGGAGGGGGCGGCCGCGTTGGGCACCTTCATTTTTGTGTTTTTAAGGCGAGAAACTCCTAATCCAGCCCGAGCTGCTGGTGCTTAGGAACAACCCGCCCGAGCTGCTGGTGCCCAAGGACCACGGTGCGGGCGGGGAAAGCAGCCGCGGGGGCTGAGGCAGGGGGGAAAGGGGCAGCGACGGAAATGGCGCAGTCATAATCACAAATAACTGCCTCTTCCCCAAGCTTTACAGAGCTGAAATATTAAGTGACGGTACTTTCAGGTATTAACAGGTAATTGGAATGGACCAGGGAAAGGCACGGGCAGTTCTGTCCAGTTCTGAAGGGCTTGTGGGGTAAAAGAAGAGCTGGAGCCGGCAGCGCTGCTGAGCCGTTGTGTCTTCCACCTTGTTAGTCTGTACAAGGCAGCTCGGTCGGATATCCTGCACTTTCCTCGTGAGATGGAGGCAGAACAGGGAGTTTGGTTTTAATGAAGAAATAAGTGCCTTTTAGTTCAAGAAGGTTCCAATTTAAGTAAATTAGTTGAGTTCCCTGTCACTGGTTTAAACGTTTTGGAAAAATAGGGGGAAAATATAGAAGGATTAGAAGCAGTACAAATGTTGCTCCTGTATGTGGAAAGATGGAGTGTGCTTTAGAATGGAAGTACAGTTCTCCTGAGTTGATATGAGTTGCTGGTGAAAATACAAAATGAGTAAATTAGGACATGGTGAGTAATTAGGTACTGCAAACACAATGAATGGCCATAGACCTTGAAGCCAAGCTTCATACCCTTGAAAAACTTGTGTGGGTGTTTTGTTTTTATTTAACAAACACTTTTAACAAATCTGCTGTCCTTTGTCGGGAGGGGATTACAAGATCTGGTTAAGCAAGTCAACCATTAATACAGTTGCTGTTGCATACTTGAATTTCTCAGGGGAATCTGACTTGGTCATACCGCATGATTTGTGGTGCTGTTTCGTGGCATTAAGGCAAAATTTAAGAATGAGCTTAGGACCAATCCGTGAATCTTAATTATTAACGGGAAGACATGAATGAGTCGGTTATTTCTAATCAGATCTGTTACTTGCTAGTTCTTTGTTCAGATACTAATAGGTCTTCATGACTGACTTAAATTATAGAAAAGAGAGTCTTTAATCTCTGCTGGTGCTGTTTGCTCAGGATGGCTTGGTGGGAGGGTCAATGACAGAGATGTTACTGCTGCAACGTGGTTTGAGCCTTCTGGTTAAACAGTCCCGAGGGTGGGAAGGTTCTTAATACAGTGTGAAGAAAGGTGTAAAGTCCAGAAACAGATGCTGCCACCTCTGTATGGTAGGAACTGATTAGATAGTGACTTGTGGGATTTAGCTGTACTGTGTTTTAAGTGTGGTAGTAAACAGGCTGATTTTATTTAAGACGGTGGTATTGAAGTGTATCGTGTTTGTGTGTGCAGTGCTAGGGCTGCAGTCACAGCAGCTCCTCAAACAGGGTATCAAAGTACTGCAGGGCTCAAAAGAAGCCACAGGAATGTTCTAGGTCTGGAAAACAAGGCATGTGGGAAAAGCCCTAATGAACTTTGTTTATTCAGGCATGTCGGTCAAGAAGTGGCTTTGTGGAAATCCCTGCCTGCGGAAAAGTTATCTGATAGTGGAGAATTTTTAGTCTTTTCAATGAAGATACGATGAGATCCGGTAACTGGAAGTCAAAGCTACACAAATTTCTTTTAAACGTGATAGTTTCCTGGCAGTGCCGGAGGCTAATTACGGGAGTAGTTTATGGGAGGGCTTAAAGACTTTGCATTATTTGGAGCCTTTAAACTGAAACTAGATAACGCTTTACAAGAAAGGCATAAAGGTGGATTCTCAGGGAGCTACTGGTACAAGGGTGTCCATGTGGCCTGGGAAAAAACAGTGCAATTCAGATGCCCTTGTGGAGATTCTTAGTTT